TTAACTTGGCTTTTCCATTCAGTAGCATGCTGCCTCACAAGAAACTGAAACTCCTCTGTCAGCTTGCGTTTTTAGTCGGAACCACGTTCAACATTGAAATAAACAAACAGTACTGCTGTAAAACAACACCAAGAGTTAGCTCTTTCACCTTGTTAGACAATCCCATGAATCCAAGTATAGTATTATATCAAATCCAGAAGAGTGATGATAAATATACTTATGTATGGGACAAAAAAGATACAAACCTCTTTCCTCTCAAATCCCGTTAAATGCAACACTTGTAAATGTGAAAACCCCATATAATTAATGGAGAGTGATGAAACACATGTATTCCTGTGAATAAAACAAAATTAATTTACTTTAGTCTATAAATTAGCCTACTCTATTTTACTGGACAATCTTATATCCTACATTATTATTTTTTCAGGGAATAAAAAGATCCAATAAGATGTTAAACAGTGCCCATACAAAAGTGTGTGAAACAATTAGCTGAACATGGGTCACCGCCTCACCGGTCTTAATTCAGTAGGGTTTGCTTGAGATTCTTCTCACGTCCATATGCAGGACATAGGGATACATGATGTATTGTTGCTACGTTTCCCAAAAAGAAGCATGTGAAAGCAAGCTACATGCATACTCTTGTTAGGATTTTTTAGATAATGGTGCAGAGCAGGCACACCAATAAAAAAATGCAATCCCTCTAATGCCTAGCATAGTAGCATAGCAGCCAAAAAGGAAATCTTTCTAATGCATATGATCAAAATAAACTGAAGAATAAGCACAGGGTTATCATGTCCAATAAATCTGCATCTTTACAAAGTCTTCACCTACTTTTTCCCAAGGAGATCCAGAATCCAGGGAATCAAGCAACATCCACATGTGTGATGCAATACTTTCTCCTCAATGCCAAAGTGTCATCGACGTTGGCTAGAGGACAAGAGGATGACGGCGCGCTGAAGGAGCATCTGAACGGTCCAACAACCTTCATGTGTGCACATCGTGAGGAACCTTAGAAAATCAAGGAATAATCTTATATTAGATCACATCCATGCCTTTTTAAGTAAGGGTCCACATGATCAAGGGCTTGATGTTTTGCTTTATTTTGAGAATTTCTAGGTTATATATTAGTCCCAATGAGACAACGATTCACAGCTCAGGATAGCATATAGGAATCAGAGTGATTGACATTGACACCCACAGATGGGGTATAGGTGGAGATGAATCTATGATACTTATACTGCAACCAAATCCAGTGCCATGCTATTTATTTTTGAGTAACTTGGACAATGTGGAGGAAAAGCACAGCCTTGGGCATCAGACATATCATTATAATCATGAACAAAATAGCAACCTAATTGGTATGATAAAAAGAAACAAATTTGTAGGAGAATCCAAATCATGATTCAAACGTGTAGTAGAACACTTCTTGCCTGATAGTTTTCTGCCTTTCCCTGGCTCCTGTTCTCTTGTGTGGTCTATAGCCAATCTCTTCGTGCCTCCTGCGGTTGGGCAGAGAAAACTGTGATGTGAGATCACAGAAAGTGCTAATACTGTGATTTGATAGATCAGGCTAAGTAGGTGTGAGGAACAACAGGTGTGAGAGACAGCCTAGCGAACTGATTAACGGTCGGCGGCGACGCTGACGACGATCTGACCCTAGCTTTGTTCAGACGGTTTGGAGGTACTCGGGGAGCAGCGCATACCTGAAGGGGGCGGCCGTGGAGCGCGTCGATGGAGAAGAATGTGTAGCATGTGGCGCTGCCGCCGGCGAGTATAAGCAACGCGTAGCTCGCGGTGCACTTGCAGCTGTCGGCGTCTGAGCAGATGGGGGAGGGGGGTCAGAGGAGACGACAATGATGAGATTGGGAGGGGGCGGAGGAGACGGGAAAGGGGCGGCGGAGGGGAGGTCGTGGTGGGATTTTTCGTCAAAAGAGATCACCTGCCGGATCAAAATGACAAAAAAGATCATCTCTGGATCAGATTGACAAAAGAGACCCCCACGCCCGTTGCGGCAGGCGCGCCAGGCAACACGTGGCACCTGCCGCCACGCCGTGAGGCCGCCGGCCCCGCCGCCATGCTGCCAGGCGGCGAGTCGCTGGCGACAGGATTCCAGGTGGCAACGGAACGGGGACTGGTCTGGTGGGACACGCCGCCACCGTTTGAGGCGGCTGCCACTTTACCTGCTACGCTCGGGCTGACGCACTGCTGTTGCCGCATGCGGGACGGTGGGCCGGCACTGTAGCTGCTGGCACCTGGAGCGCATTTGCTTGAACCGAACATAGCAGGTTTTTGGTCGTCCAATCAGCGTAATCACTAGAGATGATCTTAGCTAGCACTGGAAATGCATCCAGTAGAACCCCGTGCATGCAATGATGCCACTTAGCGGCCCAACCCGTGCATGCAATGGTGGCAGCAAGTACAGTTCCGGCCGCCTCATACGGAGGCGGCAGGGTCCACCATACCCAGCTCCGTTCCGTCCTGTGTGGCGAGGCGCTGAAAAACTGTAATGCGCAGGCTGCCGCCTGGCAGCGCGGCGGCAGGGCCGGCCGCCTCACGGCGTGGCGGCAGGTGCCACGTGTCGTCTGGCGCGCCTGCCGCCACGGCCGAGGGGGTCTCTTTTGTCAATCTGATCAAGAGGTGGTCTTTTTTGTCATTTTGATTCGGCAGGCGGTCTCTTTTGACAAAAAATCGTCGTGGTGGTAGTGGCTGCGGCAGCAGAAGGCATCCGAGGCATTGGGGCGGATGGCGGCGGCAGCGGCCAGCACGGCATATCGGAGTTCCATTGGCGGAGGATGGATCTGGATGGGCCTGGAATGGAGAGCCCAAGGATTTTTTCTCGAAAGAATACGAAGAGGGTGGCGGGCGTGGTTTTGCAAAAGTGTCAAAGCTCCCACCGGATGCGTTAGATACAGATCGGACGGTCGAAATCGCTAGATGGCAGGCACACCATCACCACCAAGTGGGTCTTTTATAGGAGTAGAGAAGAGATTTGAGTCCCCAATTGGGTTAGTAGTTCAAACCGAATAGTTTTTCTTTTGAGGGTCCGGCTAGAATTGCCAGAATTGCCGAGTTTCACGATTCTCAAACACACTAGCAATTCTGATAATTCTCGGATGATTCATGGGGAAGAAACGAGTCAGAATTGAGCCAAAAGAACTGGGCCGTAGTCCCACCAGGCCACCACGACTCGACTGCTGCGTCCGGGCCCACGGTCAGGGACGCGCACAGCAGTACTGGAAGAAGAAGCACCGGCCGCTTCGTTCTCCTCTGCCAGCCGGTGCGTGTAGTATGTGTAGTTACGCGAGGAATCAATCGAGGTAATTACCCCGCGCGCGGCCTAATCAAAGCCCAAATTTAAGAGCCATTGCTGCACGCAACGCAGCACGCCATACCTTTGCCTCGCCATACCCTGCGTCCTCTGTGTTCTTCTCCTCCTCCTCCCGTGGCACCGCAGCCGCAGCGGCAGTGCTACAGTGCTAAGCGGCGGGCGTGCGGGCGTGCCGTCAGGTAATGGAGGATTTTGGCCCTTTTCCCACGGGCTCTGTAGCTGTTCTTGGGCGGTTTCAGTTTAGAGGGGGGGCGCCAGTTTTTCTTGGCGCCGAATTCTCTGCAATGCCGCGGGGTTTTCGTGGATGCATTCCTTGCTCAAGTCCCTCTTGCTATCTTCGCCCAAGGATTATCCTTTGCACGTCCTCTGTTTTGCTTGGTTGGGCGGCGAGTGAGGTGAATTTCCTGCAAATTTGTTGCTTCCTCTGCTGATTTCTCACGGTCCTTTCGTTTCTTTCCGTGCGGGTTCTTTTTTTAGGAGAAGTTGAGTTTCGCATTTGCAGCTTTTCCAGGGGGAACACGCGGCGGTGGTGTTTCGATCCGGTTCTTGTGTTCGCCAAAAAGTCCACTCTCTTTTCAGTTCAGCGCAGCTTTTGCCGCTCTGCAAAAGTGGCACTAATTTTTTTTCTCAGTTCATCTATCTTTTTGCCTTCTCTTTCCTTTTCCATGGTAAGTTGAATTTTAGTACTCTCTCGTTTTCCCCTCGTTTTATGATAATAAATCGATAAAAAAAAGTCGCATTTTGCTGCAAAGTAATTCCCCTTTTTCAGTTCGCCAAACGGCAATTATGTTCTTCAGCCCTCTTTCCTTTCTTCAAGTCTCTTTACTGTTCCCATGGACCGGAAATTGCGCGCGCAGTACCCCAGATGCAATCTTCGGGCCTTTTCCCCTTCGCCCCGTATTTTAAAAATCCTTTTCTCGGGTGGAAATTTTGCTTCATGGACAGGCCCGAGTCGGCCTTTCTCTGAATTCTCTGAATCACAAGAGATTTCCGTATCTCTCTTTTACTTGGCCTCTGCAACTGGTTTGGGTAGTTGGCATGTCATGTGAGCGAATAATGGCACGAGCTGGGTTGTTGAGAGGAAGATTATAGTGTCTCTGCCTCCATATGGTTCCGGGTCGAGGGATTCAACTGCAACTCGGAAGGTGGGAATTTTATTTGTGTGTGGAATCTTGACCCCAAAGGAAAGGATTGGTGTTGGAACATGCGCTAAAGGTGGATGCTTCGAGCATAATTGACCTGCTGAATTAATTTACTACTGCTGCTTGGTTAGCTTCCACTGATGGAAATTCTCCATTCCAAGCCACTACCGATGCTGGATTCTGGCCTCTTCAGAAAGTAACACTACATGTCTTTTTCGCCTTCGGCTGTAGCTTGGTTACTTTTGAGTTCTTACTTGAGTTGCAAAATGTTTCTGAACACCTGTTCTTGCGTTCTTGTTAGCGGTGTTAGATGAGCGTTGGTGTGTTCTTAATCTTAGTTTGCAATATTTTTCCGTGTAGATAGAAAACGTCCACGTCCAGCAGGCTTCATTATTCATATTTTTAGTTGTTAGCATATCACAACGTGTTTCAGTTATGTTGTGTCATGATTTAATTATAACGAATTAACTTTTGCAGGGTTTACCAACAAAACTCTACCCAGCTATGATGAATTAGCCGGAGAATAATCGATGGCGACTGAGGTCAATCAAACTTTTTTTGCCTGGTCACAAGGAGAAACAACTGACCTGGGTGTTTCTGAGGTAAGTTTTCGAAGATATTCATACCCCGCGTAATTTAAATTATGTATACTATGTGAATCAACTAGAAATGCTGCATTTATTCTGAATTAGTAGAAAATAATATTGCAGTTCTGTTCCTGGAAAGAGTTTTGCCCCCAGCTAGTAGATTCACCTGCTTCTCTATGTTGTTTTTCCACTTTCCTCAGGGAGTTTCTGTATCCCAGACACTGAATCATGGTTCCATATCCTTCGGAAGATTTGAACTTGAGTCACTATCTTGGGAGAAGTGGTCTGTATTTAGTAATGACAAACGCCATGAAGAGTTTGTTAAGTTCAATGGTTTAGTAGCTCAGAAGAAGGCATATTTTGAAGAGTACTACAAGAAGATCAGGGAACTCAAGGCTTCACAGCAGCAAATTCAGCAAACTGAACTCACCTTGGAATACAGTGGTGATGGCAGTGATTCAAGCCAAACAGAAGATATGCCGGCCGAAGAGTTCGAAACTCCCACAGGATCTGGAACAATTGCCTATGATTATGTGGAAGGAGCTGCACATGAGACCACATCTGAACAGGGCATGCAATGCTACCATGACCATGAAGACGAGGACTTCCGTAACGAACTTTCGTCATCCAATCTTGTTTCAGAAGCCAGAATTTCACAGCAAACCGACCAGGATGGTAGAGAAAATGCTCTTGGTGGTAATTCAGATTCCACCGTTGTTGAAAATGCAGGTCTTGGTCATGATGGAGCAGCTTATGAAAATGCAAGGGCTCCTAGAAGAAATACTGACAAAGACCCCAGACTTAGATATGCTTCAATGATAATACCAAACTCGGTCAAAACCGTTGCAGGCAGCCCTCTGGACCGGACATCTGTTACTAAGGTAATAACACACCAAGCTTTGGTACATCACCCTCTGAAGTCTGAATCACTGCTGCTTTTATCTTGTTACTATGACAGTACTACTTGTCTGACCTTGTAGACCGATGATATGGCAGTTTATTTTGGATACTCTCTTTTTAATGCACAGTTTCTATCATACTCACTTTACTGCTTTTAGCTAGCTGCATGAGGACATATTTTGTGTTTATACGCCCAAGAGACTGAATGTTTTGGTAAGTCATAACACATTTTGCCTGAACCATTTCAGACGCCTGGTTCAGTGAAGCCTAGCATGACTACAAACCAGAAGACCAAGACGAACAATGTCTGTAGCTCAAGTGTGGCATCACAGAAGATGGCCGGCACGGCACGGACTCGCGGGATTACAGAAAAAGAAGCTCTCGGGGTTACAGGTGTCAAAAGACCTTCCTCAGCTGCCGGGCGCTCTTCTATCGGAGAGAAGCATCCCATCACTAGGGCAACCGTTAAGAAGCCTGCTGATCTCTCCACCCCAGGACGCCCTTCCACTGCCGAAAGACGCCCTGTCACCAGAGAGCGTGCACAGAAGCAAGCCGCTGTCGCCACGCCATGCCGGCCCTCTACCTCTGAAAGACGCTCCGTCGACAGAGGAAGTGCAGCAAAGCGTTCTGATGTTGAGGGCACACGTCGGCCCTCTACAGGAGAAAGACGCTCTATTACCAGGGATAGTGTGAGAACTCCTAGCAAGACAGCAGGATCAAGTGTGGCACATCCAAAGGTTACGAAAACCACTGCGGTATGTTCCATCCTCTTCTCTCACCAGTGTTAACAGAACTAACATTCATCTGATAACTATAATGTACAGAAATTCATGCGGGTTTTGCGCTTATGTTTAACGTTGGAAGCGTAATGGTGTTAGATCTCACATGGCTTATCTCTTCATGCAGAGCACTCTGAAAAGGCCAGCCCCTCTGAATGCTACTACTAAAAGTACCAAGCCAGAGCCAAAAAGGTTAGTCCTGCCATCATGTTGACGCATTCTCTGAAGATTTGGCTTTGTCTTGTGGTTTTAATTCCGTTGCTTTTTACTGCCTCGACCAACAGCAGTATCAGAGGATCGAAAGATGCTTCAACAATGCACAGTCACTTAACTAGGCCAGCGAGAATGGACTTGCAAGTGGCTGGCAAACAAAAATCAAGGTGCAAATCTTGACGGTGTTACTGGAATGTATTATGAAGGCTGGTTTGACCCTATTTTCCTGACAAAAACTTCTCACTATGTAGCTCGGTAAACCTGCCAGCAAGGAAAATGCTGAGTTCCAGTGTTGGAGAAGCAACTTTTGCAAGGCTGAAAAAGATAGAGGTAAGCTTCACAAAAGAACGTATAATAGATCACTCTGCTAGATTGTGCATATTGCGATAGACATAGCCTTGCTCAAAACTTGTTCATGATCAATGTTGTTCCATCTGCCCTCAAAGCTTAATGTTTTTCCATGATTGAGAGCTGTGAATCCTGTGATAAATAACAAGGATGGTAGGTTCAACAACTAGTTATTAGAAGTAATTATGTGGGTAACAACTGATACAGTGGGTCCTGTTTGAATTTAGAGGGACAGTTTCTGTCTCCTGCTCATAAACCCTAGTAATACGGTCTGGAACTTGCTTCCAGTTGGCACATAAAAACAGAGTAATAGGTAATACCGATGAATGCGCCAGTTCTTTGTAGTACTCACACGGTCACACCTGAACTTTGCATAGTCTAAGTTTCCAGGCAACTAAACGTTATGATTCAAATGGGTCATTATCGTGTTGTTGACTGGCACTCACCACAATCTCTGCAATTATTCCTTCTGGGGATAATTATTACTGAAATGGGGCCATGAAGGTACTGGTCATAGCAATTAAAATGGACTTGCTAACGATCATGATGATCCTTTGTGTAGGGCATTCCGGCGACAGTGCAATCTCGAGCATCCACATCGAAGAAAACAACTCCTTTGCAGGCAGGAAACACCAAGTCCAGGGCACCAAACGTACGCCATTCTTTCGTCAGCACACTGTCCTTAACCATATTGACATTTCCCCCCACAATCCTGAGACATCCATTTATTCGTAGTACTATGATGTGCATCTTTATATCTGTAGAATACACGCTGACATTTTATCCACTCGATTTCGCAGCCACCAACACCGCCGCCTCCACCACGCCGTCCGTCGAGAACAACGAGCAAACCAACTGTGAGCGGCTCATCAGTTGGTGGAAGAAAGCCAAAGTAAGCTGCTCATCATGAACACTTTATTCTTTTATCTTGGTGTTTATATCGCATCATGAACACTGAAAAAGCCACCTTATGTCAGCACAAGCTACTCAAACACCATCCTCTTTTACAGTCTAACTCAGGCCATCTCACCCACCACCCAAATGTCCAATGCAGGGCCTCGACACCACAATGGCATTGATGCAAAGGGAGCATCCAAGCTAGTGGCCTGCGTAAACGGTGGATCTGCGGGACACCGTACGGTTACACGCATCTAAAAGCACTGCACGGGCTTTCTGCGCCATCCAATTTCATCGTATGATGTCTATGCGTATCGACCACTTCCATCAAGCACCCTCATCGACCTTCGTTCAGTTTCAAGAATATCGTCTGTAGCTCCTACATGTCTCATAAGTCATATATATCCACTGACCACTAGTGAATACGTACGTACTCCCTCCGTAAACTAATATAAGAGTGTTTAGATCACTATTTTAGTGATGCAAACGCTCTTATATTAGTTTACAGAGGGAGTACTTAGCTTCGTCGTCCAAGGGACTTAGAACAGTGTATACTGTATATAAGATTAGCCGAAAACCTCGGGACAGGAAGAAATGTGGCATGTCCAATGAACTCCATGTGTGGCATATATATATCACCATTGGTGCTGCAGTCGTACCGTACGTCCATGCCATGGGAATTGCATTTGCATGCGTTAGTTCATGAGAAAATAGAGACGGTGCCACAGCAGGTCCTACCGTGACGGCCAGTGGATCTTAGGACGCGCTCTTTTCCTCGCCCAGATCGGTCGTACGTACGAGGTTGAGGGCCGGCAGTAGGCGATGGTGCCATGCCATGGTAGTACCCCTGCACGCGCCTCGCCGGGGTTGCGAAGGGAAAGCCCCACGCATCCATCCATCATTACCCTTCGACAACAAGCCTGTGGAACGCCTCATCTCGTTGTGTTTCTCCCGGAAAAAGGATGATTGATCATCGTTGTAGAACTGTGAACCAGAGGAGAGGGGCGTGCACGTACAGCGTTGGATCGACCTACCCTTTTTTTTAGGGAACTGACCCTCTGTTGCCATGTACTCCATCCGATCCTTTTTACTCCACACATTAACTTTGTCTGAAATATAATATGAAAATATATCCCGAAATGGATCTAATAATAAATGTGTTGTTATGTGAATTAATAATTTTTTGTATAAACTTGATTAAAGTTGAATGAGATTGACTTCAGACAAACCTAATATGTTGAGTAAAAAGGACCGGAGGGAGCATCGTGGGCCAGTATTTTCTTAAGGCCGCCAAATATTGGGAAACAATCGCTTTGGTGACCCATCTGCCTATTTTTTTGTCAACGATTTAAGTCATTGTTTCAAGTCCATCTGTGGACGCTAAGGTTGGATGGTTTTTTGACACCGCCGCCTCGTGAAAAATACCTACCCGCTGCAGCACCTCCGCCTCCACCATAGATCGGTTTCCCTCCTCCGGCCGGCCTTGCTGGTGGCGGGAGGGGTGGGGAACCCGATGTATGAGTGGAGTTCTTATTAACAATAGTGTTTTTAATAGATTGGTTTAGGGTTTTAGTAGTCATCATTTTCCTTGGAGATGTCATCGTCTACAATAAATAATCTTCATCCCTTCATTCGACGACGAGATCTTCTTCCCGACGTCAATGGTGGTGTTGGAAGATTAAATTTGTCTAGGTATGGTCCTTTAGCTAGCTATGGACAGAGATGCGTGGAAGCTTACTATCTATGTGCCAGAGCCATCTTAGAGCAACTCCAATGGGCCGACCCAAACTTGTTCGTTTGGGTCGGCCGTCCGCCCTGCGTCCGCTCTTTTTTAGATTTGGGCCGGCAGCGCGCCCAACGGGCCGACCCATATGTGCCGGCGTGGCCGGCTGGCCGCCCAATATTTACATTGATTTGCATTCAAACATATTGTCAAATAACATAGTTTTATCGAATAAAAATAGTATAGTTTTACAAGCCGGATACAAATAAAAAGAAATGTTTCACATAGTTTTGCAGCCGAATAAAAGAAGATACATCTATTGGTTGCCAATATGAGCCCACATATGCTCAACCAAATCATTTTGCAGCTGCACGTGGGTTTCCCAATCACGCATGTCTTCATGAAATTGGGTGAACTGTTCAAACGTTGCCGCTACTCCATGCTCAGGCACAACATTATCACCCTGAAACTGAAACCCTTGATCGTACAGACGTTTCGGACGCTCGTCTTATACGATCATATTGTGCATGATCACACAAGCAGTCATCACCTTCCACAGTTTCTGCGTGCTCCACGTATTAGCAGGATACCGAACGATGCCCCGTCGAGATTGCAAAACACCAAAGGCACGCTCGACATCCTTCCTGGCACTCTCTTGCTCCTGGGCAAATCTTTTCCTCTTCTCTCCGACAGGGTTGGGTATTGTCTTACAATAGTGGTCCACTGAGGATAGATACCGTCATCCAGGTAGTATCCTTTGTCGTAGTTGTGGCCGTTGACAGTAAAGTTCACCGGTGGGTTGTTGCCTTCGGCTAGCAAACACCGATGAGCGCTGAAGCACGTTGATATCATTGTGTGATCCAGCCAAGCCAAAGAAAGAGTGCCAGATCCAGAGATCTTGAGACGCCACGGCCTCTAGGATGACAGTACAAGCCCTGACATGTCCCTTATACTGACCTTGCCAAGCGGAAGGACAGTTCTTCCACTCCCAGTGCATGCAGTCTATGCTGCCAAGCATCCCTGGGAAACCCCTTCTGGCATTCATCGCCAACAAACGGGTTGTATCTTCAGTTGTCGGCTCTCTCAAGTACTCAGAGCTAAACACAACAATAACAGCCTTGCAGAACTTATACAAGGACTCTAGGCATGTAGACTCGCTCATATGGACGTACTCGTCAATGAGATCACCGGGCACTCCGTATGCAAGCATTCGGATGGCGGCAGTGCATTTTTGATAAGAGGAGAAACCAATCTTGCCAATGGCATCCTCTTTGCACTCGAAATAGTCATCATAGCCGACCACTCCCTTTCTAATACGGTTGAAAACATGCCTACTCATACGGAAACGGCGGCGGAATTTGTGATGTTTGAATAATGGGTTTGTTGTATCAAAGTAGTCCTTTCAAAGAAGGAAATGTCCGCTCTCTCGGTTGCGATTCAACGCCGGAAGGTGGCCCAGAATGGAGCCACGAAACAACGGCCGCTGGCTGTTGCGGTGGTGATGGACCAACACAGCAGCCAATATCTCCTCCTCATCGTCGGACGACGAATCGTCGGAGTCGCAAAGGAAATTGTGGAAAAAGAACTCATCGGCGGAGTCCATTTTCGTACCTTGGCAAACTGTCGAACAGCTTGTGGGCATTGAAGGAGACAGCCGGCGAGTGGAGTCGCGGCGCGCACGAACTAGCTAGCTGCCCTGCCGACTTCTAGCGAGTGGGCCGGCGTCCGACGAGCGTGTCGGTGAGGATCTAGCCAGCGCGGGGAGGCGACCTCTTGGTCACGGGCGGCTGTGCGGTTGGGAGGCGGTGGTGGGAAACAATTTGCTCCCCGACGGCAAGACGGCGGTGGCCGGGCGACGAGGGGAGTGAGCGACGTTGCTGGGCAGATGTGGAGGCGGCAGCAGCTGGCAGAGTCGCCAGCAAAAAGGGCGGCGGCGACAGCGACGAAGGAGGCGGGCGAGGGTTGCTAGGGGTGGGGGAGGCCAATGAGCCACCGACCAGCGGGCCCGGGGAGAGGAGAAGGCGAGCGTGCGTGCGTTCGTTGCGTGTCCGCACCGACGCAAATCCGGCTCAAAAATGGACCGGGAATGGGTCGCCCCCGGACGAAAAGCGGACGCCCGTCCGTTCGGGTCGGCGCGTTGGGCCGATTTTTCTGTCCGCGCCGACCCAAACGGACAGCGACAGACGAAATGGGTCTCGCCATTGGAGTTGCTATTATGGGTTTCACCTCTAGCTTACCCCAACTTGTTTGGAACAAAAAGCTTTGTAGTAGTAGTAGTAGTTGTTGTTGTTGTTGTAGTAAGGTATGGTCCTTCATATCTTACTTTGTCACATTGGTTTTGGTTTTTTTCTCATGGTCGTCGCTGAAGGAAATATGCCCTAGAGGCAATAATAAAGTTGTTATTTATATTTCCTTATATCATGATAAGTGTTTATTATTCATGCTAGAATTGTATTAACCGGAAACTTAGTACATGTGTGAATACATAGACAAACAGAGTGTCACTAGTTTGCCTCTACTTGACTAGCTCGTTGAATCAATGATGGTTATGTTTCCTAATCATAGACATGAGTTGTCATTTGATTAACGGGATCACATCATTAGAGAATGATGTGATTGATTTGACCCATCTGTTAGCTTAGCACGATGATCATTTAGTTTGTTGCTATTGCTTTCTCCATAACTATACATGTTCCTATGACTATGAGATCATGCAACTCCCGAATACCAGAGGAACACTTTGTGTGCTACCAAACATCACAATGTAACTGGGTGATTATAAAGGTGCTCTACAGGTGTCTCCGATGGTGTTTGTTGAGTTGGCATGGATCAAGATTAGGATTTGTCACTCCAATTGTCGGAGAGGTATCTCTGGGCCCTCTCGGTAATGTACATCACTATAAGCCTTGCAAGCAATGTAACTAATAAGTTAGTTACGGGATGTAGCATTACGGAACGTGTAAAGAGACTAGCCGGTAACGAGATTGAACTAGGTATTGAGATACTGACGATCGAGTCTCGGGAAAGTAACATACCGTTGACAAAGGGAACAACGTATACCGTTATGTGGTTTGATCGATAAAGATCTTCGTAGAATATGTAGGAACCAATATGACCATCCAGGTTCCGCTATTGGTTATTGACCGGAGATGAGTCTCGGTCATGTCTACATAGTTCTCGAACCCGTAGGGTCCGCACGCTTAACGTTCTGTGACGATCGGTATTATGGGTTTATGTGTTTTGATGTACCGAAGGTAGTTCGGAGTCCCGGATTTGATCACGGACATGACGAGGAGTCTCGAAATGGTGGAGACGTAAAGATCGATATATTGGAAGCCTATATTTGGACATCGGAATGGTTCCGAGTGGTTCGGGCATTTTTTCCGGAGTACCGGGAGGTTACCGGAACCCCCCGGGGAATATATGGGCCTTATTGGGCCTTAGTGGAACAGAGGAGAGGGGAGGGAAAAGAGGGAGGCGCCCCCCAGGCCCAAACCAAATTGGGAGGGGGGCCGGTCCCCCTTTCCTTCCTCCA